GTTATTTTGAACAACAACCATATATACATACATATATATATATACATAAGAGGGGTTTTATATCCAGGTAGATAAAATAGATAGATAGACAGATAGGTATGATAGAAAGACAGGTACATAGATAGATATAATGTTTTGTAGAGGGCCCTTCTAGCATTAAGGTTCGACCGGCTTCAAGAGGAAACTACGTATTTTGTTCTTCTCCAAAGACCAAGAACCTGCATAATTGTGCCGAAGTGCAAACAGAGATCTCAGACACATCAAGCTATAGAACCATTGTGAAGCACATGTAGCAGTCAGTGAGTCTGTGGGGGATTTCGGCAGCATGAGGATTCAGAAGGTGCTTTTAATTATCGGGAGCTGAGATTGGGTTCAGGGGTTTAGGGTGCACTCTAGGAAGTCTGAGTGGCATGATGGGGCCGTTTGCTTGGATATCTGGATTTCCAGGTTTGCTTGTGATCTGGTGCTAGAGAACATATCCGACCTCATGAGGTGTCGCAACCCTAAACCAGCTTCACGCCTGGCGAATATAGACACCCGCTTAGGTAGCAACCTTTTTTTCTCTTGGGCTCCTGGCTGTACTTTGAGCATAATATACCCCGAAACATTTTTCTGGTTAACCAGGCCCCTGACTTTAAAAAAAAAGTTGCTATGCTACTACCTAGTCTGATACTTCTTGACTGCTTGCTGTTCTCAGCAAACGCACTTCGTATTTAAGTTCCGGAGTAGGTTGTCAGTAGTTGAGTGGCGTTATTCGTTGATTTGTCGTCTTCACGTCGCATAGGTCCTGACCCTGCCCACCGCCTAGCATCCAGACAAGGATTTGAGTTTGAGCTTCTGTGCGAGATTTTAGTATGAGGGTGTTCCTCGGGGCGGGGGGCTGCATCGCCCAGATGCACAAGCAGAACAAAGCCCGTATCCAGGTCTCCCAATGGTAGTCTTCGGTTCCGTGTACAATTACCCAATGTATGTATGTGTCTACAAAAATAAGTTTAAACAAATAATTAGACAGTATAGATAGATATGTGGACGGTATTTCGCTCTACATGGTCAACAGTCAGCATGCATAGGTAGCAAGAGTACGCTTATGTTAGAGGTTTTAGGTTTAGGGTTAAGGGTTTAGGGGTGTTTAGGGTTTAGAAGGGTTTAGGGTTTGATTTAGGGGTTTAGGTTGCAGTTTATAGGGGCTTAAGGTTTAGGGGCTGATGGCATAGCAATTTCACCAACAAGCATTGTACTTGTCGGTTTGCATCTAGTACGAGCGGAGTTTCATGGGCTCCTTGCTAGGATCCCACATTGAAGCCTTGACACCAAGATGAGCTTTTCAGCAGGATGAACCCTCAACATCCCCAAAACTAGGCCCCCCCCAAAAAAATCCAGACTTTGCTCAGGCATGATGAACCCTTAACATCCCTAAACTCGGCCCCGCAAGAACCCGAAACCCTAAACCCTAAACCTTAGACCCTAAACCCTAAACCCCCAAATCCAGACTTTGCTCAGGCAGTTCTGGAAATCTCCCGCCTGCTTCGCATCGTGAACATGCTCCTGGGTCCTTGTTGGGTACCATTTTTACATTTTTGTTATCATTAAACCCACTAAGGATTAAAAATGGGTGGTTCCGAAAATAGGGGACCCTAATATAGTACCCTAAATAATAGGATCCCTATTATAAGGACCCCATAATAAGGTACCCTTAATTTTCTGAAACTCCCGTATGGCTTAGGAGTCCGGAGGGT